GTTTGCGAGGCCGCCCCGGAAGTGACCGCGTCGTTGGGTTCGGTTGCTCGTCGCCACTTGGGTTGCTCCCCCCTGGCCGAACACATCCTTTTTCCTCTCCCCTGTGGAGCTGACCACTGCCAAGGCCATTTGGAATGCTCGATGTGCGCATAGATTCAACAACACCGTCTCATACCCGTTTCGAGATTTTGCAGCCTATTCATACCAAGTTCCTCTTGGCCTTCATTTTTTTCCTTTGGCGACACCCCAAACAATTTGCCAGGAAAAAAACAAAAAACAAAACAGCGGCACACATTCATGCGGCTAGACAGCCACGCCTAATTTCATTTGCAACAGATGACTCCCTGTCCATCCATCCTGACCTCCACACCTCTTGGCTCCTTGGAAATCCCTTCCGCACCAAATAACTCGTTTCGGCTCGTCACAGAGTACTCCCCAGCGAAGCTGGTGGCTGTCAGCTAGGATACAATTGTAACGCGTTCAACATGTACGCCACACGATCATTAGCCAGATTTGCCGTATGCTAAGCCATTATGTATTTTTGTATATGATTGATTACGATTATAATATATTATATTATACTCCCGTTCTCCCACCGATGTTCTCCCATCGCATCTACGCAATTTTCTCCCTACTTGTATTGCCTCATGCTGGCGGTTCTTGACATATTTTCCCTCACCCCATCGTTGGTGTAGCCCACCGCTTATGCAGCTGCTTTTGGTATTAGTGTTGCTATGTTCTCTAGCACCCAACATTTTCAATGGGGCTCTGCAACCATCGTTAGTCATAGCATAAGAGTCAAGCCGCGTCAAACCCCCTTCTCTCATCCGCCATTCAGCATTCATGTCCAAAAATCATCATCATATTTGCCTATCACTACGCATCTAGCCATAGCTCGAGCCACCCCTATGTTTAACCCCTTCACAATGTCGATTATGAGGTGCACCGTGCGTGCAAGCCTCGCCCCAGCCGCACCTTCATCCGCTATCACGTCACCAGCGCCACCTCGCTGCCGTCCTTCACCGCCGTTCCCAAGCCTTAGCTCGTGCCAACATGTAGTCAAATTGAACCACATCCCATAGAGTTATCTCGACCAGCCCTGTAGCAGTCACACCATCCATCTCTTTCGACAATTCCTGTAGACCAATTCATTAGTGCTCAGAGGAAGTTGGAGCAGCGTGTGCGGAGAATAATGGGAGACAGGTCAAACAAGTTGCGGAACGGAGAAGTCAGCAGCAGAAGGGTCGTGGCATAAAGCCAACAGGTTGAGGGGGAGTTTTGTTGGATACAATTATGAGTTGATTCTTTATTGTGTTTGTCAACTGTTGGCTTATCGAGGTTTTTCAATTGCAGCTGAGGCAAAGGGCGAATCCCTAAAAGCGAAGTGTATGTAACTAACAGCCCACCAACCTACCCACCCGCGATTATGTCGCAACCACATCACAAAGACCGTAATGGCCGGGACTGCACAGAGAATGACTTACGCCACCTTAAGTCGTGGAAGTGTCAAACCAATTGCAGATTATGCAGGTTCCCCTCACTCGACCCATCCCAACTCACGGTAAATTTCCCGCCTTAGTCCCTTTTTTTGTGTTTCACTTGGGTGTTTATCTCTCGTTGGTGTGCAGTCTAACAGTGCCCCCAACAAGCCGCCCACAACCCCTACAACTTACAGCGGCAGCTGCCCTCGTATCCCTCAGGCAACTTGGCCACCCACTTCCAACCCTGAACAGCGATGCTTAATTTCGAACCGACAAACACAACTTCTTCACTCATGATTTACCTGAGCTGTGCTGGAAGCTGCCCTCGCCACCTGGCCCTCCACCCCTCGTCCATCGCAAACCACCATCCCCTGCTCAAGTATGTTTCATGCCGTCCCTCGCCAGGAACTTCGAACGGCTACTTCGTCAGTAACCATTCAACGATCGCCTCTGCGACGGCTACTGAGATGAATGGTTCCTTTCATCGTCCTGGTTCGAAAACGGCTGCAAGCTGCCCGAGAAATTGTTGTGGCTTAATAAGAACAGTCCCAGAGGACTCCCGGGCTGGAAGCAGTTGCCCGGAACGGCCCCGGTCAGGCGATTGCGCGAAAAGGAAGCGAGAAATACGCTCTTTGAACAGCACAAGATCTGTGGGAAGGAGCTCGAGAGCAAATTCTATGAAACGTCGATTAACCATAGGGACTAGCCGAACCGGATCGTGTTCAGGTTTCATGCTAGCCCGTTCTTGTTTAATGCAATGGCCTTGGCGTTTATGTGCTGCCCACTCAGGTCGCCAGAAAGCCTGTTCTGATCCAGCTCAATCCAAATCAATTTCTTCTTCAGCAGAGCAGGTGCAATGTTTCCAGACAGCTGATTCGTAGATAACGATAAAAACTGAAGTGCCGGCAGCGTCGTGAGGGCAGCAGGAATCTGCCCGGACAGCCGATTTTCTTCGAGATCCAACGTCCACAGCGAAAAAAGGCGACGGGAAGAGGACCAGCGAAACAATTATTCTCAAGGTCGAGAAACTGGAGATTTGTTAGCCGGGAAAGGGATCGAGGGACCGAGCCGGCAAGCCAAAGGTCAGACATAGCAAGCTCCCCAATATCCGTTAATTGGCCGATAGATTCGGAAAGGGTTGCGAGAAACTTTCCTCTGGGTTCGTGCGCAGTACGGTTGCAAAGGCGAGGTGTGGGTGGGGGCATGTCAAGTCTGAAGTTTCTCGAGAGGTTTAGTGTGAGAACAGCGCCGTCCCAGTTGCAATCCACGCCGGGCCACGTGCACGCGTTGGGCTTGTTCACCGGGATGGGCAGCAGCGCCGCCGTGAAGATCGCCGTGAGAGCCGCCGTGTCAGCCGCCGAAGCCTGCGGCGAGAATGCGGAAACGCGCAAACCCAAACTCCGCGTCGTTGACATGATGCTGCTGTGAGGGGAGCTGGTTCCATCAGACTCCAACGCCCCCACAGACGCCGTTTCCTCGTGCTTCCCGGCAAATGGTTCGCCAATAAGTTCCGCGGTTGATAGTACTTTCTGCGCAAATGCTTTCTCCGCCCTCAGGTCGGCGAGCTGTTGTGCCGCTGAATGCCACACATTCCGCGCCGCGGAGAGACCTCGTTCACGGCGGCGAGCACTGCTGGCAGCAAGCAGCTTCGATACGAGCTGCCTCGTTATGGGCCCAAAACTTGCCGTCGTTGGTGAACAGTAGAGGAGTAGCAGGAGGAGGAATGATGCGATACCAGCGCGACAGCACAATGCGCTATAAGGAACGGTGGTTGCACGCGCGACTCGAGTATAACCTGCACCCGCCACGTGTGATCGTGATTTCCGAGTCAAAACCGTGTGAGTCCTAGCTTCTCAGGAGATTTCTGCAAGAACCTATATCTAATCTTAGGGAATGAAACCTTAAACGCGTTTCCTGTAAGGAATATAGACATAGGTATGAAGCGAGGAGGAGGGCGAGCTGACTCTCAAGACATGGAAAGTTGCCACAAAAAAATATTGTGGGCCATTTTTGACAGACCAGAAAACACCGCTTCTGAGGGACGGGTGTGAATGGAAAAAGGGCGGTTTGCTACGGCTTGGATCGGTTTGGATAGGTTGTAGTGAGGTGAAGGCACGTGAAGGCGTTAATTGATTGGAGCCAAGAAGCGGTTGAAGAGGGAGGGGCTGGTTGGAGCTTCGGGCGAGGAGCAGAAATCGGTGCAGCTGATGAATGCGGCAGAAGAGGAAAGTTGAGTTTAGTCATTTGAGAAAGGTGAAGTACGTTTCGTCTCTGCTTTCAGTGGATACAGTACGTTGATTCCACCAGTAGTACTAATTCTCGCCACTTGAGCAAATGTGAACCAGCCACCCTGACCACTTTGCGACACTAGAGTGCGATGTGGAGTGGAGCCACCGTCAGCCTGAAATCAATGCTCCCATTGTACAGTCAGCAACCAGCCTGACAGGAGAAAGCAATTCTGGGGAAAGCACGAAGAGGGGGGGTTTCAAAATTTTAGCCGCCTGCACCCTTAGAAGTTAGAACTCGCCTTCAGTAAATCGCTCACTGGCTAATTTCTGCAACAAGTCCTTGTTCACAAGAAATATGTAATACCCAAACAAGTTTGAAACATGTTAAACCTTGTCAACAAAAAACGTATCCATGTCAGGTCAACTTCAGTGCTTTCAACAAAGTAAGGAAACGCGTTACATTGTCATTCAAAGTCTGCAATCAACCAAGACTTGCGATACTTTACTTCAAGTGACACAAATGAAGTAAATATGATAATTATGGAGAGCTACTCAAGTTCAGGGTTCAATGCATATGTTATCCAGGCACGGGTTACCAATATTTGTCCTCATTCTAGCGTCATACAGAAGCTTTTACCAAGGAAAGTCGAGCCAACAACAGATTAGAAGGGAATTTTTGTATAACTACATCAGCTGTGTTTTGCGCATTCTGGCTAATTTAGCAGCTTGTTATGAAAATAACATACGGTATGTTGCTGCAGACTGCTTAGCTGGATAGCCACCACCCCTACTAATCACAACCCAGCCTCTGCAAGTGCCAGGTCAGCAAGGATTCCGTCTCTGATGTCAGCAGGCAGCTTTGCGTTGACTCCACTGCGCATGTAGAAGCGGGAGAGCGTTCTAAGTACAGAGTCAAGAGAGGAGGTGATGATCTGATTGGGGGGGGGGGAGTGCGGGGTGGGGAGGAGGGCAGAAGAGGGGGGGGGGGGGTTGGGGGGAAAGGGAGGAGAGGAGAGGGGGGGGTGGGGGGGGGGGGGGGGGGGGAGCGAGAAAATGTGAAACCGAAAACGAGGCAGCCGTGCATCGAATCCGGCCCACTGCGCATGTAGAGGCAGGGCAGTGTTCTGAGCACAGAGTTGAGTGATGAGGTGATGGTGTGACTGGGAGAGGAGAGGGGAGGAGGGGAGGGAGGGGAGGGAGGGGGGGGAGGGGAGGGAAGGGGAGGGAGGGGGGCAGGTAGGGGGAGAATGTGAAAAGGGAGGTAGCTTGACATTGAAATCCACTCCAGTTCTTATGTAGAAGCGGGAGAGCGTTCAGAGGATGAGTCGAGTGAGAAGGCGATGGTCTGATTGGGAGGGGGAGGGGGGAGGGAGGGAAGGAGGGGAGGAGGGGTTGTGGGGAAAGACAGGGAGAGTATGCAAAAATGGAAAACGAGGTAGCCTGGTGTTTCATTCACTCCACTGCGCATGTAGAAGCGGGAGAGCGTTCTGAGCACAGAGTCAAGCGAGGAGGTGATGGTCTGATTGGGAGCGGGAGGAGGGGGGAGGAAAGGGAGGGAGGGGAGAAGATGTGAAAAAAAAGGGGGAGGCTTGACATGGCATTGACTCCACTGCTCATGTAGAAATGGGAGAGCGTTCTGAAGAGGTGATGGTCTGATTGGGAGCGGGAGGAGCGGGAAGGGGGGAAGGGTGGGGGGGGGGGAGGGAGAAAGGAGAAAATGTGGGGAAAAAACAAAAACAAAAAAAGGGCGGCCTGGCACTGAAGCCGTTTCACAACCATAGTTTCAAGGGAGGAGCCGTTGGTCTGATTGGGAGGGGAGAAGGGGAGGAGAGGAGGAGAGGAGGAGGGGAGGGGGGACGGAGAGGGAGGGGGAGAGGTGGAGAGGAGGTGAGTGGGGGAATGGGGTAGGAGGGGAACGGGAAGAGGGGGAGAGGGGGAGGAGGGGAGATGGGGAGGAGGAGAGGGGGGGGAGGAGGGAAAAAGAGGAGGGGAGGACAGCGAAAAGAGGGAATCTTGAGATTAGTAAGCAGCTTGGCATCGACTCAACATGAGAGGGCATGTGGAAGGGGGAGAGCGTTCTGGGCAGATGATTGGAGGGTGTATTTGAGAATTCTCAAGAACACCCTGCAGCTGATGGGGAGAAGGGAGGAGCGAAGGAGGTTAGGGAGAGAATGCGAAATAGTGGAAGGCGCGACTCTGAGTCCACTCCTTTGGGCATATAGACGTGGGACTCGGAGTCACGGCTCTGAGTCAACCCGAAAGGACGTGATGGTCCGACTGGTATAAGGACGTGATGGTCCTTATACCTCCCTGGCTTCCCCTTATTGCCCACGAGCAAGTGTCTCGTGGCTTGCTATGCAGATGATGTCACTATCTTCCTCTCGTCACATTGAGAGGTAGAGTTGCAATTACGCACCTCATGATCTTTGCGTCGATCTCGAGCAAATTTCTTGATTAGAATAAATGTTCATCATCCCTTTCAATATCCCGGACCGTCTCATCACCCACGCAGGGCAAATCCCCATTCTTGGAGTTTTTGTTGAGAAAGAATCTATCAAGTACTACTAAATAGACCACCACCCTCTCTCGTGTTCGACGTTCCGCAAAAAATTTAGCAGCCCTTTGCGCGACCGCCACGTGCCACAAACCGCTACCCTCCATCTTCCTCAACCTCGTTCTATATTTTTTCTGGTCAATTCCAACCCCCTTCCCTGACATACTTGCCATACTGGATACCGTTGTGGGGCACCTCCCTCTCGTCCTCCCAGTTTAAGGAATCTGGTTTCGCCATCGCATCATCCCGCATCAGATACATTACAGCTCGACGCAACTCGGTGGCCTTGGTGCTAACCCCCCCCCCCCCCCCCCCCCCCCCCACCCCCCCCCCCCCCCCCCCCCCCCCCCCCCCCCCCTTTCATCTATACAGATTAAAGCTCTCACCATCCTAAGCGCCCGCCGCTGTTTCGGTGTATCGCCCTCTAAGGAAGTCGCCAGATGTGCAATCTCTCTACATTTTGGCTCTCACACACATCTCTCCCACAAGCTGATTTTGAAGCCCAACATTCTGCCCCCTTCCACCCCCCCACACGCTCTCGCGGAACTCCAGGCCCTTCTATCTCTTCCCTCCGCTGTGGCCCCTCCTCCCATCTCCTCACTATGTCTTTTTGCTGAACCAGTTGCGTTCAACCGCTTTATCATGAAACCCAACGGCAGGCCGTTCAGTACCTCTAAGATAGAATGCTTTACACTGTCCATCCAGGTCAGGCTAGGCCACATTATCCAGGTGTCCACCGACGGGCTCGGCCCCATCTCCAAAACTGAATTCGCCACCAATTTCACGCTTATCGACCTTTAATCACGCTATCAAGTCGTATGCATTGTTCTGGCAGCGGTCCCCACACCGTGGCAGGATGAGATTCGCGCCCCCTCCCTTGCCTCTGCCTCTCTAAGGGACAGGTGCATCCCGAGTTCGGACCTACAATCTCCCCTCTCCCTCATACTACACACGACCTCGGTTACTCCTTTCTCACTCTTTGTCACCCTACATCGGGTACAACCCAACTCATTGAGCGTACCCTCCTCGGTTTGGTATTTTCCATATCAACGAGGTCATGGCGGTCCACACTCGGCGGTCCACACCCAAGGCCACTGGGTGGCTGGTCCGCTGGACACATGTGCAGGGATTGGCACGCGGATGCAGGTGCTCGCGGTGCACCTCCAACGATATTGAGACTATTTCGCAACTTTTCTTCGTTTGCGAGGCCGCCCCGGAAGTGACCGCGTCGTTGGGTTCGGTTGCTCGTCGCCACTTGGGTTGCTCCCCCCTGGCCGAACACATCCTTTTTCCTCTCCCCTGTGGAGCTGACCACTGCCAAGGCCATTTGGAATGCTCGATGTGCGCATAGATTCAACAACACCGTCTCATACCCGTTTCGAGATTTTGCAGCCTATTCATACCAAGTTCCTCTTGGCCTTCATTTTTTTCCTTTGGCGACACCCCAAACAATTTGCCAGGAAAAAAACAAAAAACAAAACAGCGGCACACATTCATGCGGCTAGACAGCCACGCCTAATTTCATTTGCAACAGATGACTCCCTGTCCATCCATCCTGACCTCCACACCTCTTGGCTCCTTGGAAATCCCTTCCGCACCAAATAACTCGTTTCGGCTCGTCACAGAGTACTCCCCAGCGAAGCTGGTGGCTGTCAGCTAGGATACAATTGTAACGCGTTCAACATGTACGCCACACGATCATTAGCCAGATTTGCCGTATGCTAAGCCATTATGTATTTTTGTATATGATTGATTACGATTATAATATATTATATTATACTCCCGTTCTCCCACCGATGTTCTCCCATCGCATCTACGCAATTTTCTCCCTACTTGTATTGCCTCATGCTGGCGGTTCTTGACATATTTTCCCTCACCCCATCGTTGGTGTAGCCCACCGCTTATGCAGCTGCTTTTGGTATTAGTGTTGCTATGTTCTCTAGCACCCAACATTTTCAATGGGGCTCTGCAACCATCGTTAGTCATAGCATAAGAGTCAAGCCGCGTCAAACCCCCTTCTCTCATCCGCCATTCAGCATTCATGTCCAAAAATCATCATCATATTTGCCTATCACTACGCATCTAGCCATAGCTCGAGCCACCCCTATGTTTAACCCCTTCACAATGTCGATTATGAGGTGCACCGTGCGTGCAAGCCTCGCCCCAGCCGCACCTTCATCCGCTATCACGTCACCAGCGCCACCTCGCTGCCGTCCTTCACCGCCGTTCCCAAGCCTTAGCTCGTGCCAACATGTAGTCAAATTGAACCACATCCCATAGAGTTATCTCGACCAGCCCTGTAGCAGTCACACCATCCATCTCTTTCGACAATTCCTGTAGACCAATTCATTAGTGCTCAGAGGAAGTTGGAGCAGCGTGTGCGGAGAATAATGGGAGACAGGTCAAACAAGTTGCGGAACGGAGAAGTCAGCAGCAGAAGGGTCGTGGCATAAAGCCAACAGGTTGAGGGGGAGTTTTGTTGGATACAATTATGAGTTGATTCTTTATTGTGTTTGTCAACTGTTGGCTTATCGAGGTTTTTCAATTGCAGCTGAGGCAAAGGGCGAATCCCTAAAAGCGAAGTGTATGTAACTAACAGCCCACCAACCTACCCACCCGCGATTATGTCGCAACCACATCACAAAGACCGTAATGGCCGGGACTGCACAGAGAATGACTTACGCCACCTTAAGTCGTGGAAGTGTCAAACCAATTGCAGATTATGCAGGTTCCCCTCACTCGACCCATCCCAACTCACGGTAAATTTCCCGCCTTAGTCCCTTTTTTTGTGTTTCACTTGGGTGTTTATCTCTCGTTGGTGTGCAGTCTAACAGTGCCCCCAACAAGCCGCCCACAACCCCTACAACTTACAGCGGCAGCTGCCCTCGTATCCCTCAGGCAACTTGGCCACCCACTTCCAACCCTGAACAGCGATGCTTAATTTCGAACCGACAAACACAACTTCTTCACTCATGATTTACCTGAGCTGTGCTGGAAGCTGCCCTCGCCACCTGGCCCTCCACCCCTCGTCCATCGCAAACCACCATCCCCTGCTCAAGTATGTTTCATGCCGTCCCTCGCCAGGAACTTCGAACGGCTACTTCGTCAGTAACCATTCAACGATCGCCTCTGCGACGGCTACTGAGATGAATGGTTCCTTTCATCGTCCTGGTTCGAAAACGGCTGCAAGCTGCCCGAGAAATTGTTGTGGCTTAATAAGAACAGTCCCAGAGGACTCCCGGGCTGGAAGCAGTTGCCCGGAACGGCCCCGGTCAGGCGATTGCGCGAAAAGGAAGCGAGAAATACGCTCTTTGAACAGCACAAGATCTGTGGGAAGGAGCCCGAGAGCAAATTCTATGAAACGTCGATTAACCATAGGGACTAGCCGAACCGGATCGTGTTCAGGTTTCATGCTAGCCCGTTCTTGTTTAATGCAATGGCCTTGGCGTTTATGTGCTGCCCACTCAGGTCGCCAGAAAGCCTGTTCTGATCCAGCTCAATCCAAATCAATTTCTTCTTCAGCAGAGCAGGTGCAATGTTTCCAGACAGCTGATTCGTAGATAACGATAAAAACTGAAGTGCCGGCAGCGTCGTGAGGGCAGCAGGAATCTGCCCGGACAGCCGATTTTCTTCGAGATCCAACGTCCACAGCGAAAAAAGGCGACGGGAAGAGGACCAGCGAAACAATTATTCTCAAGGTCGAGAAACTGGAGATTTGTTAGCCGGGAAAGGGATCGAGGGACCGAGCCGGCAAGCCAAAGGTCAGACATAGCAAGCTCCCCAATATCCGTTAATTGGCCGATAGATTCGGAAAGGGTTGCGAGAAACTTTCCTCTGGGTTCGTGCGCAGTACGGTTGCAAAGGCGAGGTGTGGGTGGGGGCATGTCAAGTCTGAAGTTTCTCGAGAGGTTTAGTGTGAGAACAGCGCCGTCCCAGTTGCAATCCACGCCGGGCCACGTGCACGCGTTGGGCTTGTTCACCGGGATGGGCAGCAGCGCCGCCGTGAAGATCGCCGTGAGAGCCGCCGTGTCAGCCGCCGAAGCCTGCGGCGAGAATGCGGAAACGCGCAAACCCAAACTCCGCGTCGTTGACATGATGCTGCTGTGAGGGGAGCTGGTTCCATCAGACTCCAACGCCCCCACAGACGCCGTTTCCTCGTGCTTCCCGGCAAATGGTTCGCCAATAAGTTCCGCGGTTGATAGTACTTTCTGCGCAAATGCTTTCTCCGCCCTCAGGTCGGCGAGCTGTTGTGCCGCTGAATGCCACACATTCCGCGCCGCGGAGAGACCTCGTTCACGGCGGCGAGCACTGCTGGCAGCAAGCAGCTTCGATACGAGCTGCCTCGTTATGGGCCCAAAACTTGCCGTCGTTGGTGAACAGTAGAGGAGTAGCAGGAGGAGGAATGATGCGATACCAGCGCGACAGCACAATGCGCTATAAGGAACGGTGGTTGCACGCGCGACTCGAGTATAACCTGCACCCGCCACGTGTGATCGTGATTTCCGAGTCAAAACCGTGTGAGTCCTAGCTTCTCAGGAGATTTCTGCAAGAACCTATATCTAATCTTAGGGAATGAAACCTTAAACGCGTTTCCTGTAAGGAATATAGACATAGGTATGAAGCGAGGAGGAGGGCGAGCTGACTCTCAAGACATGGAAAGTTGCCACAAAAAAATATTGTGGGCCATTTTTGACAGACCAGAAAACACCGCTTCTGAGGGACGGGTGTGAATGGAAAAAGGGCGGTTTGCTACGGCTTGGATCGGTTTGGATAGGTTGTAGTGAGGTGAAGGCACGTGAAGGCGTTAATTGATTGGAGCCAAGAAGCGGTTGAAGAGGGAGGGGCTGGTTGGAGCTTCGGGCGAGGAGCAGAAATCGGTGCAGCTGATGAATGCGGCAGAAGAGGAAAGTTGAGTTTAGTCATTTGAGAAAGGTGAAGTACGTTTCGTCTCTGCTTTCAGTGGATACAGTACGTTGATTCCACCAGTAGTACTAATTCTCGCCACTTGAGCAAATGTGAACCAGCCACCCTGACCACTTTGCGACACTAGAGTGCGATGTGGAGTGGAGCCACCGTCAGCCTGAAATCAATGCTCCCATTGTACAGTCAGCAACCAGCCTGACAGGAGAAAGCAATTCTGGGGAAAGCACGAAGAGGGGGGGTTTCAAAATTTCAGCCGCCTGCACCCTTAGAAGTTAGAACTCGCCTTCAGTAAATCGCTCACTGGCTAATTTCTGCAACAAGTCCTTGTTCACAAGAAATATGTAATACCCAAACAAGTTTGAAACATGTTAAACCTTGTCAACAAAAAACGTATCCATGTCAGGTCAACTTCAGTGCTTTCAACAAAGTAAGGAAACGCGTTACATTGTCATTCAAAGTCTGCAATCAACCAAGACTTGCGATACTTTACTTCAAGTGACACAAATGAAGTAAATATGATAATTATGAAGAGCTACTCAAGTTCAGGGTTCAATGCATATGTTATCCAGGCACGGGTTACCAATATTTGTCCTCATTCTAGCGTCATACAGAAGCTTTTACCAAGGAAAGTCGAGCCAACAACAGATTAGAAGGGAATTTTTGTATAACTACATCAGCTGTGTTTTGCGCATTCTGGCTAATTTAGCAGCTTGTTATGAAAATAACATACGGTATGTTGCTGCAGACTGCTTAGCTGGATAGCCACCACCCCTACTAATCACAACCCAGCCTCTGCAAGTGCCAGGTCAGCAAGGATTCCGTCTCTGATGTCAGCAGGCAGCTTTGCGTTGACTCCACTGCGCATGTAGAAGCGGGAGAGCATTCTAAGTACAGAGTCAAGAGAGGAGGTGATGATCTGATTGGGGGGGAGGGAGTGCGGGGTGGGGAGGAGGGCAGAAGAGGGGGGGGGGGGGGTTGGGGGGAAAGGGAGGAGAGGAGAGGGGTGGGGGGGGGGGGGGGGGGAGCGAGAAAATGTGAAACCGAAAACGAGGCAGCCGTGCATCGAATCCAGCCCACTGCGCATGTAGAGGCAGGGCAGTGTTCTGAGCACAGAGTTGAGTGATGAGGTGATGGTGTGACTGGGAGAGGAGAGGGGAGGAGGGGAGGGAGGGGAGGGAGGGGGGGGGAGGGGAGGGAAGGGGAGGGAGGGGGGCAGGTAGGGGGAGAATGTGAAAAGGGAGGTAGCTTGACATTGAAATCCACTCCAGTTCTTATGTAGAAGCGGGAGAGCGTTCAGAGGATGAGTCGAGTGAGAAGGCGATGGTCTGATTGGGAGGGGGAGGGGGGAGGGAGGGAAGGAGGGGAGGAGGGGTTGTGGGGAAAGACAGGGAGAGTATGCAAAAATGGAAAACGAGGTAGCCTGGTGTTTCATTCACTCCACTGCGCATGTAGAAGCGGGAGAGCGTTCTGAGCACAGAGTCAAGCGAGGAGGTGATGGTCTGATTGGGAGCGGGAGGAGGGGGGAGGAAAGGGAGGGAGGGGAGAAGATGTGAAAAAAAAGGGGGAGGCTTGACATGGCATTGACTCCACTGCTCATGTAGAAATGGGAGAGCGTTCTGAAGAGGTGATGGTCTGATTGGGAGCGGGAGGAGCGGGAAGGGGGGAAGGGTGGGGGGGGGGAGGGAGAAAGGAGAAAATGTGGGGAAAAAACAAAAACAAAAAAAGGGCGGCCTGGCACTGAAGCCGTTTCACAACCATAGTTTCAAGGGAGGAGCCGTTGGTCTGATTGGGAGGGGAGAAGGGGAGGAGAGGAGGAGAGGAGGAGGGGAGGGGGGACGGAGAGGGAGGGGGAGAGGTGGAGAGGAGGTGAGTGGGGGAATGGGGTAGGAGGGGAACGGGAAGAGGGGGAGAGGGGGAGGAGGGGAGATGGGGAGGAGGAGAGGGGGGGGAGGAGGGAAAAAGAGGAGGGGAGGACAGCGAAAAGAGGGAATCTTGAGATTAGTAAGCAGCTTGGCATCGACTCAACATGAGAGGGCATGTGGAAGGGGGAGAGCGTTCTGGGCAGATGACTGGAGGGTGTATTTGAGAATTCTCAAGAACACCCTGCAGCTGATGGGGAGAAGGGAGGAGCGGAGGAGGTTAGGGAGAGAATGCGAAATAGTGGAAGGCGCGACTCTGAGTCCACTCCTTTGGGCATATAGACGTGGGACTCGGAGTCACGGCTCTGAGTCAACCCGAAAGGACGTGATGGTCTGACTGGAAGAGGGAAGGCGAGAAATCTTTCGAGGGAAGGGGAGAGAGAGGAGAGAGACGAGGAGGAGGAGAGGATGAGAGGGAGGAAGCGCTTAGCATTGAATTCACTCCAACTTGTAACACTTCCGACGTTCAGGCAAGCCTTCTTCCCCCGTGCATCCTCCAGTGTCTCTCCTTCGCTCATCTCCATATCATCTGCTGACGAGTGATCTTCCCCAAACACTCCCCTTAATTACCCACAAGCAGTTCAATCCTCCCCTCGTTCAACCCTCCTCCCCACGCATTCTCTCTGCCCCCCTGCGCGCCCACCTCAGTGTTCTCTGGCGCTTTCCCCCGCCACTCCCCCAGGTACGCGCGGATCGCACCCTTAGCCACCTCCGCCTTGCGCCGGAACTCCCCCCGGTCGCCCTCCTCCGCGCCCAGCGCGTCGCGCAAGCTGCTGATGAGCGCCGTCACGCTCTGCACGTACGCCTTCGGAAGCCGCCGCTCGCTCGCCGTGAGCTCGTCCGAATTGAACGCGGATCGGAGCCCTTTCAGCAGGTCGCTTCCCCCGGCGGCGGTGGCTTCCGCCGTGGCGGCGGAGTCCGCGGCGGCGTGCGCAGCGGAGGGGTGGGTGGGTAGCGGGAGGTACGGGGAGAGGGTGGCAGAGGCCAAGGCGAAGAGTCCGCCCGCCAGCACGGAGCGTCTTGGGATGAATCCATGACTAGAAAGTCCATGGTTGGATAATATGAAAACTGCCCCAAAAAACAAGTGCGGGCAGGCCAAATCACCTCTGATACAGACCACCCTGCTTCCCCTGCCTCTCTTCTCATACCCTCGTTTGCTCCACCTAGATTTCCCTCCCTCTATCCCCTCCCCTTTCTCCGCCCCCAACCCCACGGTGGCCATGGCAATGCATCGCATGTCGCTGCATGTGCCTCCTCCCCTCCTCCCCTCCTCCCCTCTCCCCCCCCTCCCCCTGCTTCCCTCTCCCCCTCCTCTTCTCCTCAACCCTTCCCCCTCCTCCCTTCCTCCCTTCCTCCCCTCATATCCTCTTAGCCCCCTTCACCATGGCCTTCCCATGCCGGACAAATAATACGGCTTGAAGAAATGCCCAAAATAAAATACAGGCAAGGCGATTCACCCTGATAAGGAGCCGCCTGCTTACTCCGTATCTCTTCTCATATCCTCGTTTCCTCCATTGAACTCTCCCTCCCGACCACCCTCTCCTACCTCCCCCTCCCCACCCCCACAGTGCCCGTAGCAGTGCTTTCCATGTCCGTGCCTGTGCCTCCGCCTCCTCCTCCCACTTCTCCCGCCTTCAGCATTTCCCTCCGACCCCATTGGTGCAGAGGAGGAAAAAGGAGCAGAACCATTTGCATCTGCTCCTCCTTCTCTCTCCCCCTCTGCACTCCCTGACCTGCCAGCATCTGCGTCTGCTCCTCCCATGCCTCTTGCATCGTCCCGCCCTCTTCCCACCCCATTATTCTCACCATCGCTGTTGTCACTCTCGCTGTCACTGCTACTGCTGCTCTCGCCGAAGGGCCGCTGCTTGTGGAAAATGCAGCACTCTATATTGGGGACGACGAGATGTAGGGAAGGTGCAGGGGTAAGAAAGAAAAGGTTCAAGCTGGGTTCACGAACTCTCAACAACAGCCTGTAGCTTGCAGAGTAAGGAAGGATTCGAACCGCAGCAAGCCGTGTGGTCGCCGTTAAACTTTCAGCTAAGTGTAGTGGGTGGGTTGCTTCGTAGGGCTAGGAAAAAGGCATGAACCAGGACTTGATAAGTCTCAAAGTAAAAGTACTAAGTAGGCGTACGCGTTTCGGCCGTTAGGCCTTCATCAGCGCCAGTTAGGTGCAGGGGTAAGAAAAAAAAGGTTCAAGCTGGGTTCACGAACTCTCAACAACAGCCTGTAGCTTGCAGCATGAGGAAGGAACGGAATAGAGGTAGGTAGAGGACAAAGAGTCCAAATCGGAAAGAAAGAGCAAGCTAAACCACCTCACAATGCACCCCGCATATGCTGCACAAAAAGACAGACACTCACTCTTGGACCCTTTTTTTGTTCAGATGCTCGTGTTACACTGTTCCCTCCCTCCACTGCACTCTCCCCTGCAACGTTGAGTCGACTCAAACCACATGATGCATGGATGCATACGGTGCCTGAGTAGAGACAAAATCACTCTTTGATTTCTTCTTGTTCAGATGCTCGTTGTCCACTGTTCCCTCCCTCCGTTGCACTCTCCGTCGGGGTGCCAACCGGATCACCACTTTGATCCACCACGGCTGCTTGGACGGTCCAGATTGAATGAACAGCAAATGCAAGGGAGGACATTAATATGGACGGTCCAGATTTGAATCGTGGTTGGAACTGTTGTGGCGATTGGATTACCATTGGAGATCAAGCACACAACTGATGTTGACGGTGACGATCGAACGTATGGCAGAGGTATCATCATGAGAAAAGAGCACAGACAAGCACAAAATCTGGACACATGTGCCCACGTGTATCACACACGCGCACTTCAATGCCATTACAATAGAGCCATCAACACAGAGTCACAGAAGAAGCTAACACTACATCAGTCTCTACGGGTTGGCTTACGGATAACCCCTAGGGCCGTCAGCCTGGTTGCGGGGAAAAGTAGGCACAGAAACTCAAAAATTGCGGAAGCATATTCAGTTCGAGAATTCAAGATGCGGGTTTCACGACTGTCGAGGCAAGGGGCAATGTGGAGCACTCCGTTTTTTAGCTCACATGATATACAAGCCTTCCCAAGGATTGAAAAAACGAAGTGATATTCAGGCCAGGACAAAGATACCTGCTTGCACCGTGACGTTCAGCGCAGCTGCGAGAGTTTGGCTAACCATGCTGCGAGCTGTGCAACGACGTCTCAAAAGTGGTTACCTGTTTGCTCCGTGATCGTAACTGTAGCGGCGTTTCTCGTAGGCGTTTGGTTGGCCATGCTGCAAGCTCCCTTGAGAACGCCGATGCACAAGATAGGAGATCAACGTGAGGACGATTTTAGAAGCAATTCGACGAGAACAATTCTCTACATTACCACAGAAGGGACGATCTCAACCAAATGATACGGTAGCTAAAGAAAACGTAATTTGTTTGCTTTGGCAATAGCACTACCACGATCGCTAAGTTCTCTACTACCGAGCGCCTGCTTCTACAGAAGTTAGGCAAACACGTCCTGTTGGTTGAAGGGCGAACCGACGGGCATCGTCGTTATTAGGGGCGTGGCGCGGGTCATCAAATACCCCTAGAGAAGTCCAGACATATCCGCAACAGCGGGGTTGGTGGGAGGCAGAGTTGTTAGTCCTCAAAGCCCGAGTCTAGTCAGATGGGGAGGGCCCTTTTGTGCCGGTTCCTGCAACCCCTGGGAACTGAGTTTGCGATTGTTGCGAAGGAATGTTTCGTCGGGATCTCAGCACATTTTGATAAAGCAGGTTTGAAAAAGGCACATGCGAACGAGCTCGAGATGAGAGACATATGGTGACGTTGCGGGCAATCTCGTTTGCTCGACTCGTCCGCCAATGGCAGATGAGCGAGAAATGAGCGTCTGTCGAGAACTAGTGGGCACTCGGGCTTGGTTTGGGTGGGTGTTACAAACATGTCATTCACGAAGAAGAAAGTTTATAAGCCCTCACGAAAAAAACTACTAGAAGTGTTACCAGTCCGGATTACTTCGGCATCCCCACCTCGCCTTGTCTCCTCTTCCTCGCCGCGCTCCTGGTTTTTGAAGATTCGCTAGCTCCGCAGAGGGCCGCGGCGCCCGTGAAAAGTCGTCTCCTAAGTCACCCGGCTTAATCAAATATTCGTGTTTAGCAATTCGCTTCTGGATGTAAATACTCCCTCAATCCACACCTGCCATTTTGAACACGTCAGCACACCCAGCCTATCCAAACCAAACTAAATGCCCACCTCACCGTTCCATCCGCAGCAGACCAGGCAGATTTCCAGCATTCATGTACTTATTATCTCCTACGCACACAGAACACACACTTCAGACTGCAACTCTCTTCTTCAACTTCTGCAACCCTCTTCGTAACCTCCGCACTCCTCGTCCAACCCTTCTTAACTCTCAGATACGCGTAGCTTGCCAAGCTGCCACCCATCGACAGTCTATGAAAGTACCGTACTCCCCCCTCTTCATCCTTCGACACGTTCTAATCTTCCCCCACTTTCCTTTGCCTCCACGTCCCTTCTGCAACGCCCCCCTGGCCCGTCCCCTCCCCTTTTCAGACGAGAGCTTCGTGCCGTCGCTGATATACACCGTGCTGGGCACGGAGCGGTACGTCACGACATATCGCAATCCAGCTGGGTTCTTATCTACTTATCGTCGAAATGAGATGAACGCCACCGATAACGGTTGTAAGTGTCTTCCAATGGTGTTAAACGATGCTGTTTCCCTGGATGCGATTCTCGGTTTCTTGCGTTTCCCATCTTTTTCTCCATGCAGCTCTTGCGTTTCTCTCGTGAACGTCCAGCACTTGAAGCGTTGTCGTCGGTCCTGTATCGGCACAGCAGAGATTTTGTGCGTTTTCGTGAACCTGTTTTCACTATCTCCCTTTCTCTTGCCCCCTTTCTCACCTCCATTTCAGACGTACGATCTTCTATTCGGCTATCAGCATTGCGAACGGCAATTAAGTCGATGAGAAAGGTGTTCGTATCACTGGTGAGGTTTACGTTAGTATGTACGCGATGTACTGGCGTACGTGCTTTGTTTCCTGTTCTATGATGTAATCACTTCATGGTAACCGTTCATTGGCTTATGTTTGCTGCTTTTTTTATTTTTTATTTATGTTGTCCTACGTTTGCAGCACCTAATTAAGGTTGCGACCAAGCCTGTTGCAACTGCATCTTAGTCGACATACAGTACAATGGCTAAGTATGTGTCGTTTGGTGACTTGCAAACTCGTTTACCACTAACCCCGCTGGAGCAATTTCTGTGCGCATGCGTAACAGCAAGGTTTGCATGTTTTGCAGGGAACACTTATTATAGCAGGCTTATCGACAAGCGGAATTGCACTAAGTAATATTTTACCCATTTTTGCATGCCTCTAAGCACAATGGAAGTATCTGGTGAGTGCTGAACTGCATACTTGGAAGTGCATGTTGCACTCGCTTTACCTTGCTATCTTTCTTGCAGGCAATATCAACAAGCAGCACCTAAATAGTTGTCGTGATTTTTAGCTGTGCTGTATGATGTTATGGTGGATTGGGAAGATGGTACAGTGAATTTGTATGGTGTATTTTTAATGATAAAGGCATATGCGTTCATTCATATGAAACTAGACATGTGAAGGTTGTAGCGAAACGGAAAATATTAAAATCGTCAGCCAATAGGCGATCGTTTCCGCACACCAAAATGCTCTCTGATTGGTTTACAAGGTATGCTCATGTGCGTCGATTTTAATCTGATCCGACGGCTGTCGTTAGAGTACAATGACAGCCACGTCAGCAGGTTTGAGTTTCATCTATAGTACGTCGTATGCCACGTGGCGTTGTCGTGACACTTTCGCATAGGTTGCTTAAGAGTGACGTTTTCCACCCCCCTAGTTGCTTTACTGTATACCTCACAATTGCATCAAAATGTACAGTTTGTGTTGGGAATGTGACGGGAAAGTCACTTCGCAAGTGACTAACGCTACCACCGTTTTTTATTAAGACCTTTTTCTTGCGCGAAAAATGCAACTGGAAAGTTACGGGACAGTAACTTTTCAGTTATTTTTTGCACCTCCCTTTTCCGCGATGCAGCAGTTGTTTTATTCTGCTAAGCTCGTTGACGGTGCTCCGCATACATGTGTTCGGTTCGCAATTTTGGCGGTATCTTTGCAGTACCCACGTACACGAGTTTTTCCAGAGTTTACGGTTTCCGAGTTAAATCGTTGCTTTGCCCCTGCCCCTCTGAAAACACCCGCCGTTTCGCTTCCCCACCTGCTGCTCTCCTACAGCCGAGTGGATGGGCCTGTGAGAACCCATGAGAAAAAAGCTTCAGCTATCTCCGCGCTTTAGGTATCTCTGCGCTACTCGGAAACACCCGCGATTTGCTTCCTCACCTGCTGCTCCCTCCCGTGCAGCCATCCCAAAATTCAGAATGCCAAAATTACTTCGAGAATGAGGGAAACCCACAGGTCACCCTTGCGGGGTAACCCACAACTTCCTAGAAAGTGCCCCCGAGGTTACCTTTGAGCAGTTGCTACGTCAGCAACTCTCGTAAGATATACAATCGACCAATCAGGAGTCCGATCAGTTCATTAGGTGACCCCAATGATACCCTCTCAGCTTCGGAGGAAGGATCGGCACCAATCAAATTTCGAATCACTTTGGCTGCCGCGACAGCCACGTATGGGATTTTCACACTGCCTGGGAACATACGTTTGTACACCTCGACTCTGAACTTTATGGAATGATATATAGTTGGATATTTCTATTGTCACCTTTTCCTTGCTGGCTATCGCATCGCTCAATGATGGGTTGGCTTACAGTGATGGGTTGGGTTACGTGGCACAATCTAGGTTACGAACCAATCGGAGCTCTTCGACACCACCTTCAACAACTTCTCCTCTCCCAACACCTTTAGAGTACTTATCCATCTTGATACTCACACAACCCGTCACTCGTTCGTGCTCATTCCAAAGCCATGTCCGCCATGTCCGCCATTCATGCCGCCATATCCGCTTTTTTACAGACCTCAATCTCCCAGAAATTGCGGCAGGCTATATGTGAACGACATCTAGCTTAGTTTGTCTTCGTTCCATTTCTTATAAAGCAACGCTTTTAACTTGGCGATGAGGAGATCTTATTCCATCGTCTGTTTCCAATTTTCTTCTTAGAACTGTGCATGTTTCTTCGCAGGCATCGCCTACCGTCGTGCAAGGCGAGCATATTTGGAGCTCTAAAATGTGGCTGTGAGTAAGCAAGTCGTTCGTAATTCACTTGGGCATAGTGTAGCACGTCGTTTTTTGCTGGCTTTGCACGATACGCGCTGCTGTTCTCATTCGTGCAAGGCGCTTATTTTTAACCCTGAATTTCGCTCTGTAGGGTCTTCCGCAATCTCATAGCCGCACTTGTTCCATGGCGTTGTTTGGATGTCGCTGCTGTTTGCAGACTACGGTGGCGATCCATAGTGGCAAACGTTGACACTTTTTAGGGCGTCGATTTCGAACCCCTTTGGCGCTCTTCCTGAGTGAGCCCTCTCTGCATGTCCGTATAAGCTGCATCATTTGTGAGGTAAGAATCCTGCTTTACGCCATGTCGCTGAGACATGGCCTGTGTTGCTGCTGTTTTGTTTTTTCCTGTGTTCGTTGTCTGGTGTGTTGCAG